CAGAACAAGTCCTCTACTGGTCAATCAGTACATTCCTTCGCCCAAGGGGACACTTTACCTACGTTATTCTTCAGAAAAAATTGTCTGATAATGACAGACTCCACAAACTCGCTAGGCACGCTATTCCAGTGCTTCACTAATAATTACCATCGCAAATTTTAGCTAACATACAACCAGAATCTTTCTTGTTGGATTTTTAACTTACTATTCCTTGTCCTAACAGGTTCCCTCCTCTGTTTTTTTGTAGAACTCTTTTACATATTAAAGGGGTGTCTTCTCTCCTTAGTTTTCTCTTCTATAGACTGGATAATTACATTGCTTTCACCTTTTCTTTGACAGTCATATTTCTTAGATTTTTATTCACTCTTGTTGCTCTCTTCCAGATGCCCCAGTTCTCTCCTGAAGCACTGTTATCAAACTGGACAAAATACTGCAGCTAAGGCTACATCCCAGCTGAAGAAAGCAAACTGATTATTCCACATCATCCAGACAATATTCCTGGTTTACACTGCAGTATGGTGTTCAGCTCTTTTGTAGTATCAAGTCATTGTTGTCACATACAGTTTGTTTTACACAAACCCTATACTAAAGAAATGCTATTTAATCAACTGTTTCTTACCTTCTTGTCCTGTATTTGTATAGCTCGTTATATTTAAGGGTAGGGCTCTTTACTTGCATGTTATTTTTCAATCAATTCTCCAGCAGGTTCAAGTTCTCCTCCATTTTACTCCTGCCCTCAACTGCGAGGCTGTTCAACCACACCAAACCCATTCATTTGGTCTGCAAATTTAGTCAGAGTATTTTGTTTCATTTTCCAGATCATTAATGAAAACATATCCCCGCAGAAGCCTACTCAATGCATCTGCATTTTTTCCTATTTAGGAAAGTTCCTGCTAGGCCAAGTTTCCACAGCTTCTTATAGGAATTATCTGTGAGACAGTATCCAAAGCTTTGTTAAAGATGTAAGAACTTTTGCATTATAAGGATAAGATATCAAGTACGACCTTTACTGCTTCTCTTCTATCCATGAAGCCTATTATGTTATGGCAGATGAAATTTAGTTTTCTGGTAAATCCATTTTCATTGTTACTACTTTTCCTGCATGCTTCCAAATGTTTATTAAAAATTCATTTATTTGTCCCAAAATTCTTTGGGAATTTTGGTTACAACGACCACCCTAAAATTTCTTAGTTTTAAACTTTGTCTCATTTGAAATAGATTCTCTTCTCCCTTCTCTAGACTAAAGGTTTTATATCTTCATATGCAGTATAAATGTTTTTAGCTATCGTCTAGTTTTACTATACTAGTGAAAAACCATAGGAAAAAAGAATCAGTAATATCAGCTGTCAGTTTTCTTCTCTCCACTGAATAGCAAATCAGTGCCTTCCTTGGTCATCTTACTACAAATACAGAATGATTACCTCTTTCATTTATGACTCTTCCTGGCTCTTTTGGGACCATATCTTTCCAATTTTGTCCCAATATCCTGGGCTACTCCATATTCAACCTTAATAATCTGACATAGTAATCATTTTTTGTTAGCTTCCCCTTCTGCTTGAGAACAGACACAGTAGTTCTGATAGATTTTGTACACTTTCTCTCCTAGAACTTATTGTTACGCACATGATCAAATTTGGACCCAAAGTCTCATTAATTACAAGCTATTATTAATATATGATCATTAGATTTTACTGCTGTAATTTTTTTTTTTAACATGCCATTGGCCATAACTTAAAAATCTGTTCCGCAGAGGACAGAAAGTGTCTCAATCCCAGAAACGTTCAATGCACCTTTCACTGACGTTTTACACCAAATAAAGCTTCAGAAAACACGATTGTGTTGTAACACGTTGTGTGGGAAAAGGATATACCCAGCAAAGAAGCTGTAGGTTCCCTCCTAATAAGAAATAAAAAAATCAAATATAGAATGTACTCTGTGGGGAAACCTGAGAAAAGTTAATAAAAGTGTATTTCAACAGAATAATGCAAGTCACATTATCAAAGGTTCTCTATAATCTTAACGATCTCTGAGTGCATTTTAAATAACTTAAACATTTAAAGCAGTACTATACTCAAATTATTAATCTAAGAGTATGTAGCTATTGATACTGGCTTATGGGCTAGCTATATAAACAATATAGCCTAGTTGCCTGTTACTGTGCAATTCGATTGAGCCTCAAATATTTTAAAATCAGCAGAATACATTCCACATCTCAGAAAATTCCTAGCTGCTTTTCACTCTTTCAGTAATAAGCTCCATATCAAAGATACCTTAGGTCTTAAATTATACATCAGCCATTACAGGATACCATGATAACACAGCATATGACTGTCCCTGGAGTAAATGTTCTAGCTCAGCTACGAGTCATATTTGTACTCATCAAGAGTAAGCACATGCATTTGTTGGTTTATTATTTAGCTGGTGGCCCAGCCACAACACAGATTTTAAATTACTTTTTCATCACCATAGTCCACTCCTATGAGAACAAATTATAAACATTAACTACTTTACAAGGATTCATGACAGTATATTTACTGTCCACTAACAATAATATAACCAAAATGCCTAAGATTTCAAAAAAGTACAGGAGTACTTACTAAAATTAGATAGAAAAGTTCAGCCAGTGAACAGTTTAAGTTTTAAACATTGACTTACATTTACTGCAAACAGCTGAAAAATATTTTACAGCCTATTCTACTTACATTTTCTTTTTCTCTGTTTTGTCATAAATTTGTTGTTTGAATATAGTGTTTTTAACTACAGTTATTCCTTCTATATTTTTCTCATCTATGCAGTTGACTGATTTATATTCTGGCTCTTATTTCCTCTGTGGTATAAAACGAACTTAAAGTGTAGGGTTAATTTAAAATATATATGTCAACTTTACACCACCAAAACCTTTAAGCGTTATTCTCATTATTGTACATGAGGACAATAATTATTTTATCCTCTTTGATAAAGACAATGTCACATTGAAATGAATTGTTATAAGAAAGAATGCAAGTTATAAGACACAGCAGAATTGCAAAATCTTTTAACAGAGGTCAAAGGAGATAAAGCAACACCTAAAAGCTTCATCCTGAATATCACATAAAACAATCTATGGAAGGTAAGGCACTAATTTATACCTAATCTTTTCCACTGTAGTAATACTTAGAGAGCTAAACTGATAAGCAGCATTTTTAAAATAACTGAGATTAGAACTGTATTTCAATAAACGTGGGCTACAGGACAGAATTCTGCAAGTATCTTCCCATTTTAAACATCATTTTGTGTCACACCTGACCACCTCTGACTCTTCATTCCCTCTGCCATCTATTTCTAACTGTGCCTAAAATAAGACAACTCATGTGCAATATTCTCAGGTATTATTCTTTATCAGAGAAAATGAGCTATTTGGAATAAAACATTTAGTAAACATGAAAAAAATGTATTATTTAATTGTTGAAAAAAATTGACCACCTCATACTTAAAATTCTAGATTATTGCATAACCATAGCAGAATTTACTATATTCAAATACGCCTATCATTTTCGATGTCTTATTTCTGGAGCTACTCCAGTTTTCTAATCCACTGATTGAATAAAGACATCATGGCCTCTGATAGGACTCATTTCGGAAACTTAAGATCTGCAGAAGCATAGATGCTTGCCAGATTCAGTCAGCTAACAGTGCTCATGAATTTCAAAAAACAAGAGCAAGCCAGACAGGCAAACTACCTGTGTAGAGTTTATATACTCCAAGGGTAAAACATAACTCCACTGAAATTTACTGTACAAGTCCTGACGACTTCAGTAGAAACAGGAACAAGACTTCATAAGCGGAGAAATAATCACCTCTTTGCAAGTCAAAGTGAAAGGAAGAAATATCAATGACAATCTAAGACAGAAGTTTCTAACCACTGGAGAAGGAATAGGGAAAGCAGAAGTGGACTGAATGGCAGGTGCCACAGTAACATTCAGATACTAATACATGGAGAGGCAAGACAGGATTGAGTTATTTCCAATACGCAGGGAGAAAGAAGTGTTTTAGAAAGCAACAGAATAGGACTTTTTTCAGGAAAATGAAGAGAGATGAAAATAGAAATAAAATGGTATGTTTGTCAGAAGGGAGGTGCATTGCTAATGTCACACAAAAGAAATGTCTTTGCAAAAAGAGATAGAAACATACAAAAAACTACTATGAGCGTACTCCTGTGGAGATAGGAAAGACTGAAGCTGATTTTGAATACATTCATGTAAACAAAACCTTATATTTTCAGAAAAACAGTTTCAACTCTAACAGTGGCTTCCAACCAAGCAAAAATAGGCCAGTGTAACAATTTCGGAGCCTAAAAAATTAGATATTAGAATACTTACCTTGATTTTGGGGGAGGGGGGGGGAAGCTGTTATACAGTTCCAAAACATAACTTCAAAAAAATGAACCAAGTAGAACAAAGGAAGTGAAGAAAAAAATCCTTTCAACAGTAATTCCTTTAAATTTTAGATCACAATCTGCAAACCAAAACCACAACTTATCTTGGTACATTCAAGTTTGGAAACTTCCACTGACTATTAAAAAGTGATCAGTTTTTTGCCTTTAGTCTCCCAAATGTTATATCTTTTAGGCCAAGGTGAAGCTGACAGGTTGAAACGCTTGAAAGGTTTGTAAGTACTACAGAACAGATCAGGATTTTTCCAAAGTTACAGAAGAAAGAGAACAACAAACATTTGCAGCCAAAGCTTTTCCTTTGCAGACTGATTATATCAGAGCCTCGGGATGTAGCTTGCTAGCTTAGGGTACCTTCAATTTATTACTACTATTGCCTGAAAAATTAGTCTTCAATGGAAAAGCAAAAATAAAAAAAACTTACCTGCTTGTTTTATTTACTTTTACTAAATATTTGTCACTACAGGACAAAATGCTTTAAAGTCATGAGGGACAACTATCTTTCACTATAGCTTAGGGAAAATTTAAAATATAGTTTAAATATCAAGAAAGTGGAAAGAACATCGCATACCTTTGGATATCTCTTGCCTGTCTTCTTCAATGGATCTTTGACTGGATCATATGAAGAGCTTACAGCATCAAAGATTTTTTGTTGCCTGGCTTCCTGAAGAGCTTTTTGAGTGGGACCTTCTAGTCCTTTTTTCCTTTCACATTCCTGGCCTGCTATAAAAAAAAAAATACATACAGCTTTTCTTCCTTACTCTTCTGAAAAAAGCCTCTTAATATTAACTGGACATGAGAAATTCTAACAGAAATTACACCACTTAAATAAAAAGAGATCCAGGTTACTATGCCATACATACCTATTTCCAAGACTACATACAACTCATCTCCACAAATTATTCTGATATGATCTATTTCAGCTTATCTAAGGGTATGCTAGGTACCCTAGGTACTGGGTAACTTTCTGCGTTTTGTGGTATGACTTCCAAGTTACCTATCAAACCTTTTCCATGCTTCTTGTGCAGGAAGTTACAATTTTGCCCCAAAACGCAGCAATAGTTTTGAATCATGCTATATAGGAGACATGCACAGTAAAAGGGATGCAAATCATTTCCCTCAGAGCCAAAGCAGACATCATCTCACCGCACCCTATCTAATACCTACCACCAAAGCAATACTCTGATTTACACCCTGCATTCCCCTCTTGCTCCCCCTGCACTTTCTCCTTTCAAAGGAGGAAATGCTTATAACTAGGTAACTCAGCACAGAAATCCTAAGTAGGGAACAATAGCTGCAAGCTGTCAGGCTGAAAAGAATACAGGGAAGGGTATCACCCAGGTGGACTGCTGCACAGTGGATCTGCCACAATGTGGCAGAAGGGGTACTGTTCTCTGTGTATTGACAGCTCTCATATTTCTGACTTACAGTCCCTTGTAAACCCTGCATCTCGTGACTATGGTCTGCAATGCATTATGCAGGCAGACAGGAAAGAGAATGGAGCAAAGAATTCCAAAAGGATTTACCTGCATCTTATCAAGTCTTAAGACCTGGGCCACCAAATTCAAAACTTTCCAATTATTGAAGGGGAAAAAAACTTCACTCGAGGCAAAAAGCCAAAAAATCATGGATCAAACAAGCACAAAAACTTCCTGTACACCCAACCTGAATGAAAGCTCTGATAAAGAACTGTGCCTGATCTAACAATATGCTAATCCTCACCATTTTAAAAATTAAAAGTGCTGCCATAGACACCCTAAATAACTTTTTCTGAAGAACTGTACACTGCAAAATCATTTTATATGTCCAACACTCTCTCCTCACTCAGTAACACTAGCACACTGCTCTCAGAGCGTTGAGTTTGTGCTTCATACTTACAAACTATCATAGAGCTGTGACAGGTGAAAAGGTTTAAAAAAAAAAGTCATAACCATTCCAAAAAAGATCTAATTGTAAAGAACTGTTGTGACTGCACTAAGATGTCAACAGTTTGTGTTTTCAGATTTTCTATTCTGATTGCCTTGTAATGGAATGGGATCGATTAGCTTTAAATACCTCAACTGGTACTTTTCAGATTTCTTTTGGCATGACCTTCTGAGAGCAATTACATCAGATCAAGGAAACAGAAAGCACAGTTAACAGGCTTAGCAATGAGTTAATTCAACCATGAGTAAAGAAACTCATTGGGCTGAGCTTTCAAACAGGGTAATAAATAAAGCAGCTGTTGTTTGGAAAGAATAACAAAACGTACCAAGTAACAATTTTATAACATGTTTTCAGAATTAGTTGTTATACCACTGTTCAGTTAGGTATATAAGTAAGCCACAAGATTACTTAATTCCTGCAGGCAAAAGCAGTCTTTTTTCAGAGCACCACTTAATACAGTGTGTCTTGATCCTGAAGTAAGGACAGAAACGCTGTTAGCGTAAACCAATAAGCTAAAAAAACAAAATTCAGTGAATTGTTTTTGATGCGATTTCTCAACATCTGATCCTGCTACAACTTTAGGTAGGATCAGATTAAGAAAAAACAGTATTTTATGCAAATATTCATACACAAACACCCAATCCTTTTTTAAAATAATCTAAACTCAAAACATGTTATCAATTTGCACAAATTTAGCTTTCATAGCTGGCTTTTGAGCAAGCATAGCAGGGACAGAATTCATTAAACAGAACCTCCCATGTAAAGCTGAGACATAACCGCAGTCTTGTGTTCACAGAAGTATGGAAAGTCTGCTGTCTACAACATATGGGCTTAGTTCACCTATCCAAGCCTATGGTAACAAAGAACATATCAAGAACACACAAGGTCCTCTACAAGAGGACTGAGTCCCTGTCCTCTGAACTAATTCCTCTTCAACTGTTAAATGTCCTTCATATATAACAGAGTAGGTGAATAGAAAATATAAACCTAAACTTTTTTTTTTTAAAAAAAAGCACTCTAAGAAAGCTTTCTCTTTAAGGATTTGTGCATACCAACCACTGTTTGCAAAGCTAAATAGCAGTGTGACTGGCAGTGAGTCAGTCAAAAAAATTAATAAATTACAAATTATATGTTCCATAGTTCTGGTGCTAGCCTCTTCAGCTAGTTGAAAAACATCAGGCAGAAAGCTGTTGCATCAAGTGCACAACTAATAAATCAAGAATAGCTTTCCTAAAATTAACTCTACTGTTAATTTTTTCTACCTAGCTACCAGATACAGACTTATAATGTAAAGTCAATGAAAATGTTATGAAGCTTCCTTTCTTTCTTGAAATAGGCCACTATAAGACTGAAGAAAAAAAAAAAAAAAAAAGAAAACCACAGTGGATGTACTGGACCTCCTTGCCACTATTCAAAACTCTAGACTGCTGAGTAAACCCAAAGCTAAACTCTCTTTCAATGCCCTGTAGTCAAACATGGTGTGCTGGTATCTGCAGTCTGGAGTCAAGTAAGGATGCGGAGGAGAAGCATTAGGAGCAGTGATGGGCATTCTCCTGTTCCCAGTAGCTGTCAGGCAGATAGGCATTCTCATTCTTTCATGCTCTGCATGGCAGCGAAAGCAGACAGCTGGCCAGGAAACGCATCTTACCTTGGCAAACGATAACTTGCCAATTTGAATGTTCATTATCTTCTAACTAAAATGTACCAATGTATTAAAGCATGAGATGTTCAGGTCAGTCCTGAAGAGATGGCAGCTAAAACAAAACGCAGCTTACAGAAGAGACTTGCAAGTCCAACAACACTGGTTCCTTCCACACTAATTAGTTTTACAACTTATTAGTTGCTCTTCCACTAAGAACTTAAATTCAGAGGAAAAATGCAGCAAACATTTTTCTCCAGTGTCTATGCACTGCTTGCTCCTCAAGGTTTCAATTACACTATTTCTTGAGTAAGAATTCAAGAGGCAACGGAACATGATCATCTTTCAAGAGGCAGCAGAAAGTATCTGAGTAAGAGACAGTATCACCCACTGAGACATGAGTATGACCTACCGAGTGCAATAAAAATTATGTTGTATGAGAGGACAAGGCAATAGAAAGAAATGAACTGAAATACCACTTGATTTGTGATACACAGAGTATGAGGCAAATTAAGGCTTGTATAAGCACATAGGTGGCTGATGAGCTTAATAATTTGCACTGGAAACTAAGTGTTTTTTTTTTTTTATTTTTAAGTGCTCCCCTGCTTGTCACTTTTTGGTGTTATAAAGTGCTCTCAAGGTTTTTGGAGAATAAACAAGTACTGTGAACAGCCAGAGAGTGGTTTTTACAATCACTCAAACAGCAAATGAAAGTATGTGTAATACGGAAAAGAGACATATGGGGCATCTATAACGTAAAACACTAGCACAGAGGAAGAACCCACACTATACATCTTCAAGTCAGAGCATAATGAAAAGTTGAATGTAATATGTCCTTCTCCTGAACTAACATAAAATAAAAAGCCCATTCTCTATGTTCTTGTCTGTACCATGATGAAAAAGAACATTGTGCTCTTTACCGGAGCAGAGTTTTATACTTTTTGTTGTAACAAGACTTAAAGACTACAGCAGAGCATTACCAGTAGACACAGTCACAAAAAGATATTTGGGAGGCCTGACGCATGCCTTGCTGAAGAACACGATGCTACTTTATAAGGAGGGGGGAAAAAAAAAACCACACACACAGAGCATCAGAAAGATAAAACCACAAAGGTACTATGAACACTGAAGAGACCTACTAAATGCTGCCAGTACTTCAGTGCTCCACTGTATTAATGCATCTGATGTTTATTTTTAGAACTTATTAAATCAGTAGCTATTTTTTTTTGCACACAAAATTAAAATCAGAGCTTAGTTTCTACTGGGTAGGACTTTAGAACCATTCCAGGTCCTTACAGAAGTGAAAGTAGCTATACTCTTAACTGAACAGAATACCATGTGTCCTACAAAAGTAGTAGGGTGTGCTCTGAAGCGAATTGAACTTGGTCTCTAGCAGACTGCCAAGGAAAGTTAACACCTGAGTTGAGACTCCTCAGCTATGGAAGCCTACCACTGCTGCATGGAAACCAAAGCCTCAGCCAGGAAGAGCAGCATTTTTCAGAAAATTAGATCTCAATTACAATAACAGAATGTACTACATGAGTAACAGGCAGGCAGTCACAGAGACCTGGAAGACAGTTGAAATATCTTCATAAATATTAAATAAGCCATTTTAATAGCCAGGGAAATACTGTCTTCTTCACACAACTACATACATTAAAAAAAAAAGACCACAAAGTTTACATGGCTACTAATTTTTTCCTGGCCTTGCCTTTTATAAGGAATTTTATACAATGGAAGCAACTCCGTGAACATGGGAACAAATGAAACTTGATTGTCAAAGGCTGGGGTCACTATGGCTTTTCACCTGGAGCATTGTACCAGCATAGCAGAACTTCTGGACTTTTAACACACTGAAAAAAGCACGTGAGAAACAAACGTAAGTAGTATCCTAATTGCAATAAATGCTTCATCTGGAAGTCTCATGATATTAGATATCTGCATGGTCACCTATGAGACAGAAATTTTGATTTCCTAGTGTCACTGAAATCTGTGGTTGAAGTTCTGCTCATGACTAAAGCTAGTACAAAACCCCTTCCCCATATGAATTCTCTGTTGTCAGAGGGGAGAGCTCTCAACTGTAGCAGCCTTTCCCTGGAGGAAGCTTTGATACTATTTCCCTTTTTCATTATCTCATCTGTTTTCATGAGCCTTGTTGAAACCCACTATCTTGGAGACTTATCTCACTGTCAAATATAACTGAAAGGGTTCAAAATTACTAGTGGGAGAGATGCGCACAAAGAACACGCTAGCATGAGCTCCATTTACTCAGGAAACCAGAGAACAATGCAGTGCTAGAGTTTTGCTGATGGAGTTAGAAAAATCATTTAATAATTACGCATGCATTCAAAACACCAGGGAAGTAGTGCCATACCATATAGAAAAGGATATCGCAGCAGGTACTACATAACCTTGCATTATCAGCAAGCTTCTGTAAAAACAAGGCATGCTAAAACAAGAGGTTGGATTTCACAACACCATTATTTTCAAAATATTCCCAGACCACTACATATGTTATTACAATAAGCTGAAAAAGGTCACTCAAGGTGGAAAAGAGAGTATTAGTGGACAATAAAACAGAATCAGGCGCCAAATAGGTTTTGGTAAGGTCCTTCCACACATACTCACATATTCCATATTGTCATGAGCAGACACCCATGGATACACGGATATGTGGATACATGTTAGAATAAATATTGAAATGATAGAATTACTGCTCTTCACCAGGACTGCTGATAAAATGTTCATAGTGCAAGCGTTACTGATTTACTATTACACACCAGACACCGAAATTCACAACAAAAAACCCAGAACCAGTATGAATTCTATTAAAAGAATATTTTACCTTTTGTCATAGGAATCTGAATGGCATGTCCATTCTCTAAATTTTGTAATGTAGCCTGTAAACGGAGAGGAAGAACAGGCAGTATAGGAAAACTGCTTTTCTTATTGTCTGTTCACAACACACATTTATGTCTGTATATGTAAGTATCTGTACTACATTCTATATAAAATTATTGAATTTCCTGATCATTTTCTCTGATTAAGTTGCAAATATTATTCCTAATTCTAGATTTTGGAAGTGCCCAGTAAACCCATGTGATAAAATATAAGCTAGAAGAAAATTTCTCAAAAATACTCTTATAGCTCTATTAAAACAATGCAGACAGATACAATACTAAGGATCATATTATGCCATCAACCTTCACACCTCTTAGCACTGAACTAACCTTTAACTTGATGGCACAACATGACATATAGTTTGGGCATAACAGAACACCATATTTTGTGGCATTGTAAGTTATGGAAGAGCCTTAATTCCAGAATGCTTACAATTCATAGCTGGATACATGTTACATAAAAGTTCCTGAAATTTCATAGTATTGGGAACAATTTATGTTTTTCACTTCTGATTCAGCATAACTGTATATAGACAGTAACCTCTCCTCTTCTCTAGAGCATTCCTTTACTTATTTCAATTTCAAACAAAATCCTCAGTCCTTTAGAAGTAAGCCCTAAGGTGACCTGAGCAAAACTGGAGGCAGAAGAAAGGAAGAAGTGAGACATGGGGACTATTAGATGAGAGAGAGAACAGGCTAAATTCCTTTCATGTTATCACATATAGCTGACACTACTGCTGAAATACAACACCTTTAGCAAGTTGCTTTTTTTTTTTTTTAAACAAATAATCTATTGGTTAAACACACTAAAGATAGTTTTCTGTTCTTCATCAAGCCAATCTCTGCTTAGAATACTTTCTGGGCAGAAAATCATGTATAGCAAGCTATTTATCAGATAAGATTACAGGACCAAAACAGGGTTCTATTATTCCACTCACAAAAACAGAAGAGCTGTGTCTGACAACTACTAGTTTAGGAAAAAATTTATGAAGAACATTCCTGGTTATACCTAGAAAAAAAACTTCAGAAATAAACAGTAAAAAGGAAGGCTAAAATCAGCAAGTTTCTATAGGCATAGATGGCATGTATGAATCCATGAGAATATCACTCTTTTCCTCAAACTCTTGACACTGACAGCTGTGTCACACAGTCTGCATATTACTTGCTCACTGTTGCTCTACATGAGTCAAAGGCTGAGAAATACCATTTTACAGCATTAATATTTACATAATTTTAAAGTTTTATTAATTAACATGAAACCAACTAAAATATTCTGCTTAGAACTATGGCAGAAGGAGTGCATTGTTTTACCAGAAATACCCCGTTGATTTACCGAAGTATTTAACAAAAAGCGTTTTGTACAGCTTTGCAGGTAGCATTCACTATAATTTTACCTGCCCAACTGCTATGTCTCTCTCCAAACTAATTAACATTTTCTGTCTCAGTGTAGCCTGGTATTTTTCAGTCAGCTGCTTCAGCACTGGTTCATATGATGCATAATGTGTCTTCAGCCTACGAAGAAGGAAAGCACAAATGCTTCTCAAAAGCTGAGTTAAGTTTGTTTACAGAACCTTTTTCCTGAACACCAGATACAGGAATAAAGTGCCAAAAGGTCAACACACAGGAAAGAACAAAAGCTATTTAGTGTGCAACCACCCAATCGGAGTGCTGAGGAAAAAAAAAAAAAAAGTCAGATCAGTAAGTGAATTCAGTTTATTCAGTCATAGCTTTTAAAACAATTCATTCCATTTTAGTTTCTGTTCTCCATCCCTTACATGCATAAAACATCTTAATTTTTGTTAATCTGTTTTCTTCTTGCAGATAGATGATACTTCATTGAAAGAAAGATTTATTACTATCCTAACATCTAGGAAAAACAAATGTAATATGATTATTTAACTGCACTGCACATTCAGAACATCTAGCCACTTTAATTCTTCAAATATACTAAAAGTCAGATATATTCTGAATATCTCTAGAAAGAAACTCAGTGCAATACATGACACTTAAGAACACTTTTACAAAAGGTTGACACAGAACGAGTCAATGAATAGCACTCGCTTGTGTTAACATATATAGATTTTAAAGATGTAGAATACGTAACTGCCATTACTTACATTAATTGATAACAACATTAGCAAGTCAAAAATCTGGGAATTGGTTGGAGCTGCAGATCTAAGCCACTCCCTAGGTTTATTTTTGACCTAATTCTGGCATAAATCCATGCAAAGAAGAGATTCTGAAGAGTCAACACTTTTACCCAGCCCAGTGACCTTCCAATGGACAATACACAAGCTCTACTTGTAAGTATTAATTAACTAGTTGGGGCTTATTTTCACCCATAGCATCATAGCAAATTACCTACAGGAAGCTCAAAATGCACAAGTACAGAAAACACCAGTTACAGGAATCATGACCACAAAGTTTCTGAACTCAGTGGGATACAAATTATCATTATAACAGGTAGGGATCTAAACCCAGAAATCACTGCATAACAGCATTACAGTAAAAGATCTGGGTGAAAGAAAGTCTCATCCATATTTTCAACTGTTGGAGACGCTATATACTTCACTAACAATACCTCGCCCCATTCAAAATATGGAAAATGTACAAAAAATCATTTAAGTGTTTAAGAAACATGGAGGAACGGCCAGGTGGAATTACTATTTATAAAGACACTATGTAAATGCAGCTAGCTTTACTTTCCCATTTAATTTTATCACATTATCTCAATCCCAGGCAACAACTCAAGTTATCTTTATCATTACATGTACAGTAATAAAAATCAGCTTTTACCTTTTAATGTCACAAATAAGCTTGTTTTTCTCTTGGACCACTCGCCTATGGTGCATTTGATGAAAGTCACGTTCTTTCTGCATTCTTAGGAGAGCATCTTTTGCTTTGCTGCATGTGTAAACAGAAAACGCAAAAGACATTGGCCTCTTACAAGTTACTCTTCAAGGCGTGATGTACATACATAGAATCCATTCACAGATACGCATATGCCTACCGTATCCAAGTTGGAGACTTTTGGAGGTATCCCCTGTGGCAGACCACATGCATTTGTGAGGTCTTTTTGCTGCCAACTCATGTACAAAAAGGGTAGATGTTTTTCACCATTATCTTTCCTCAGTTCCTTTAGATAGGATCCATAGGGATTTTAGCATTATAGACCTCAGAGAACAGATGAGATGGTCAACCTTATTTTAGGGATAAGGGGGCCTTGGGGAGGTACCTACCCAAATTATAAGTGATTAGAAAAAAAAAATATGCCTGATGAGGTTTTGAAATTCTACATGAAATTGCATTGCAACACTGATTTTCCAAAATCGACATCAGGTCTGGAATCCAACATAGTGTCACACAAGAGTAACACATACAGAAGCATAAGTGTACCATTGCCTTGCAAATATGTTAAGAGAGCTTCTAGGAAAAAAGCACACTAAAATTCTAGGCTCCTGCAGATCAAGTTGGCAGCTTGTCCTCAGGTGTTATCCTTAATGTGTAATAGCAGGATGGAAAAGGAATCCATTTCACTTCATTGCAAAAATACTCGTTAACAGTTATTCTCTAAGCACATCCCACAAAGCCAAGTGACACCCTGAGACACTCTGTTCCATAAACATAAAAGAAAATCCTCTGTATATATTTAGCATACCCAGATTCTCCTTCCTGATGCAGGTATGGAAGGAAAAACTGGCAAAAGAACTGCTTAGTTACAAAGGATGCTTGAAATTACCTTGCACAGAAGGTAGATATTTATTTGTTCTTTAGGAAAAAAAAGTTCGTTTCCTCTTCAATACGATTTCAGAAAATACTATGACAGAGTATGCCAAAATTATGGGTCCAGGAGTCCCATCCAGAACTGCTATTGCATTCTATTTAACACAAATATTTTATATATACTACTACATTTTCTATGTTTACTATCTACACAAACTATCTTATTTATTTGTGTAACCTTACACATGAACTGCTGCTTGTAGCAGGAGCAGTTAGAAAGACCTGGAAAAAGCACAGTGATTCTAATGCCACTGTGTATCAGTTAGAACTGAGAAAAAGCTGTCAGGGAAATGCAAGCAGGCCGGGCCTCCCCTGCAGGAACTATCAGAAGACTCAAAGGAGCTGCAGGCAGGCACACAGCATTCTGGATGCATATGCACAAATATGGCAAGTTGTGAAACAGAGTAACTTAGGATACTGCTACTGGGATACAAAGTATAGATTACATACCCTTAAGCTCATATCAACAGTGAATGAAAGCAGGAACAAATGAAGCAGTCGTCTCAGGCCTATTCCCTGAAACAAGTCCATCATGACACCACTCTCTTAAAACTGAGTAGCCCTAAGATCTTGAGTACGAAGCCCACCTCTTCAGAATCAAACAGATGGCTTTTTCTAAGAGTGAAAGATGTTGCTACAGCTACAAGGCCAGCATCTATTTTTTTGATTAACACACATGTCAGACTACAACAGACAAGTGCCTCCATTTAAACTTCTCACACAAGTAGTCTGATAAAATTGGCTAAAAAACAAAGCAGGGATTTTCAAAGGTCTATGAGAATTACTTGTCGTATTCCCATTGAATTTAAGTGGGATTTAATTCCCCAAGATGCTGAAAGTTACAGCCCCAACATTTTAACCAAAGTAAACATTCTTAGAAACCACACACTTCGACATTTTACTCTACCTATCTAGTTTATATAGCATTTAGTAAAAAGTTTGCCAAATCTACCACATAATGGAAGAGATGCATTTAAAAACAGTGCACAATAGAAAAACTGTGCACATCTATTTTTTCATGGTACAAATGGGTAAATACGTGCAGGCAGTTAGATTTTTGGCACTGAAGTTAGGAGGTCAACTGAGAATTTTATGGCTGGTGATAGCAGTAACTGTAGTAATAAATACCATTTCCAAGAATGTTTTATATTTTGGCTGTTACTGTGGCTCTAAACTGCGTGCATGCTCATAAAAATCAGGACAGAAAGATACCTGCAAATATTGAAACTTCCTAACTGATGTCTGTGAACTCGGTTAAAATCCTCAGCCCAAAGTTCTATCCAACTTTCATTACCTGTCCCTGCGATCTTAAACCTGATATACCATGATACTGTCTACCTACACGTTTAAATAAAAAAAAGCAACAGTGTCTGGCTATAGAAAAAGACCAAATTATATGGGATTTAAGGCATCTTAAATCATCAGATAGGCAAAGTTTAATATGGCTATGAAATGATAATTCATTATTCAACTGATAAGCAGATAGTATTACCAGACTATTAAGTCTTTAAATCTTCCTGCAAGGCAACAAATTATGCTAATTCAATAAGCTAAGAACCTTATCCTCTTCATATACTAGTTAAGCTTAACTAGTCTACCAAAATAGTTAGCAATTTTCAAATGTAGTGTTTTCAAATTTTTCTAGTACTAAAAAAAAAAAAAAAAAAACCACTATGCTACTTTTACAGAAGTATTTCGGCAAATAATGACATACCAAACAAGCAGAGCTCCTCTGGGGCCTTCCAGATATAGGAAACAGAAGGGCAGCACACTTAGGGGTATTTTATCTAAGCACTGCCCCACTGCCAGTCAATGCAAGTCAGTTTTAATTTCTATCACAATGCAACTTGTTTTTAAAAATATTTTAAATAAAAATTAGTATCATATCTAAACTTTATGGTAATCACCACTAGCTTTGGATTAAAAGGACTCTACTGAATTATTTCTGTTAATACATACATTCTAGTGTTTTTATCATACCTCACAATGCCTTCAGACATTAGACAACCTATTAAAAACATAAACTCACTGTATACAGAAAATGAAGCCGATTGTGAATCTCCCTTTAAATAATGAAAAGCCACAGTGAATTTTCTAACAGCCTGCAATCTACTCAATTTGCCTATGTGCTGTACAACTGTGCAAATACATTATTAAAATACCCAAAATATAATTACATTTAGCTTCTAGACCTTGAATCTCTTCCACCAATTGTTAAACAACATTAAAACAGGAGGTAATTGGTTTACAGTCATTTCCTCTGGGCCCCCATACTGCTTAAGTCACAAACAAGATCTCTTTTCAGCAAGATGGTTGTCAAGAGTAGCAAGCTCAGAAATACCGATGTAATTAAAAGCAGTTTTCAAATACAATTCACAGCACTACAGCTCACCATGAAAGCTTTCTAACTGATCCAAAGAACAAAATATGGGGCTTTCTTTGATCAGAAATCATTATTTTCTGATCAGTCTAATCAGCATTTCTTCAGTGCTCTTAGGCATTCTGTTTTGAGCATGAACTACTCAATTCTCGTAATACTTGAAAACCCAAACTGTCCTCCAGGTAATTTTGGCTCCTGCTGCAATGTGCTCAAGGGTACTGACTCCAGTATTATTGGATGCATAAACAAGAAAAGTGCTGTTAACAGTCACTACAGTAAACAGATCAATTTAGCACAAGATGTTGCAGTCAGAGTTTATCCAAAAGACAGAAAGGAACAGTTTAGAGCAGAGCTGCTCAGCTTCCCTTATTCCAGAAACAGTACTGTGTTAATTCATGAAACTTCCATAACAAAATGAGTGAAACCAATATCACACAAAGGCTGAACTTTAACCTCGAGTACCAGTGAAAATGTTGAAAACTATTTCAAACCCAAAGTTCAAAAATTAAGTAGTGAGCATTGTAACAATCTAAGTTTCACTACTACATAGATACAATTATATTATCAGCAGAAAGACTGAAAATCAGTGAGAAAAGAACTCACCATAAAAGTGCCCGAACAAGACATATGCAGAGTAACTGCAGTATTTAACAGTAAATGCCAAAAAACAGAATTTACCCACTTGCAATTTGTATCATTCAGAATCCCCCTGTATCTCCTGTATAAGGAAAAGACATTGGAGACGTACACTGTCCAAAAGAACACCACAGAAAAATAAAAGAATGCTTTACACACGACCCACCTCCAAGTATAGCCCATATAGCAATATTTTTGGATTGTACAGTATTGGAATTGATGAGTAAAACTTTGCATGAATACTAAAATTTAAATGTTTACAGTTTAATAAAATTAAATTTTCATCGGAAAATAATTAAATTATGGTTATTGCCTGAGATAATCAACATACAAACTATGATTACTTATAATCTGAGTAGCTATTCATTTTTCGGAGAGAGGAACACTCTAAACGAAATGTAAACAAAAACTAGTAGCTTGAGCAATCTTGAGTTGGAGATAACTTCCCCCCTCCCCCCCCCATAGGTCCACATTTTAAAATTATGCCCTGGCAAAACTAAAGTGAGCCCATTATTTGGTCTGAGGGCAAATGCCAAATGAACATACATGCAGATGTACCACTCTTTAGAAAAAACTATAATGTTATATGTAGTTCATTACTACATCTCTCCATTACATAAGCTAAACATTTTAACTCCTACACTTGTAGTAAAACTGACTTTCGTAAAATCAGCTACTGCAACACACACAACTACAGTCAGTAGCACCGATTTGCATCCACATATGATTGAACAGTAGGGCCTGAAAGTGATTATTTGCATTTTAAAGAAATGGGAAAAAAAAATCACTGTAAGTTTATTCTATGCATGCTGATGTTTTGTGGTAGCTATAATTTGTAGTAGTGTACTGTAAATGTATACATTACTTTTTCTATGATATTATAGTCTCATGATTCTCTGTAGTAATTTGCTGTGAATTACTGGATCTTGAAAATTATCTTCTATAACCCAGTAAATACAAAGAAAACAAATTCAGCTTTAAATTTCTAACACAGCTTGGAGAAAACTGAGCTCAAGTTTTAAAAGTAGTACCCACCCAGAAGTAAAAATATGCCTATTACATCCTGAAGTAAAAATATGCATAGCCAGCATAAGGAACAGTAATCAATCACTTCCCTTAAGTACTCGTTTACTTTATCCAATAATTTAGTCCTGCGTATGAAAGTTTCATTAAGACCAAGTAACATACTTAGCAGTCAGCTTATAGTTTTCCAAATCTTTCTTCAAACGCATATTCTCAGCTTCCAGTTGCTGCTTGCGGGTAAATACAGTTGGAACCAATCCAAAATCTTTGGCTGTGAGTACACCTCTCTCTGCCAGCTCATACCTAGCATGAAGTAAATGGAGAGATGTTTTATGCCATGTTTCCATTTCTCACTTCACTGAAGCTTCCCCTCCCATACTAAATATTTACATTAATTAAAATCACAAAAGTATTTGCCAAGTCAAAACAATTACTTTTTTAATGATCACTAACAATTTGCTATAGTACCATCCCACTACACAGTGCTATTTTTTCATTCTAAAACATGTTCTTATTGTTCACAACAGTCAAATGACATGCCCAGTACAACACACTACTACAATTTCAACAATTGTGCTTGTCTTTCCTTATTTCCAAACAACTGACATGAAAAAAAATAATTCTAATGCAAATAACATTTTAATCTCGATATATACACACAATCCTTTCTACATGTTTAAATACATGCAAGTTCTTTTGATGAGTTTGTAAGAAAAAGTCATAGATCAGCTGGACGAATGATCCTCTGAACTATCTTGGACACGGAATTCAGAGCTCACCTAGGCAAAGTTTTTCATTCTTTTTGTAAAGGGAAATACATTTCAAACAGGAAACACCTTTTTTTTACAATCCCAGTAATTTACAAAACAGCTATTTACCGATGTTGCGCTCTCAATTCTATTTACCATTATTTTCCAAACCATTTTACCAACCCCTGCTGCCATAGGAGGTTTGGGTGGAGTGACTGAGCCAATCACAGAGCATCCTGGTATTTTTGGTCCCCACAGCACTCCACCATACAGGAGAGGTTCGGGGTGGCAGTAAAGGTGTCCCTGTCACTTATGACTCGGTTAACAGCCCAAAACCATTAACGAAGTTTAACAGGTATCATCAGTAGTAAAAACAATTGAGAGCTAACAACAATTAATTTATCAGTAACTATATATTCCAGCTCTACATACAACATGCAGCAAAAACAACTATAATATTTAGAAGTGTGCACATATATATATTTTTATATATATACACACACACAAGCTCAAACCAGTGAGAGAAGAGTGCCTGGTGGTTACGCGAGAAGGCATTGGGGAAGGGAGGGGGAAGGGATAAGCAG